CAAAGGTGACCGAAAAATATAAGCTTAATGGGCTGGAACATAAATGCTAATTTTCGGTCTCAATAATTGCTAAGAAGTCGAGAAAATAATTCAACGACCTTGAAGACAGCTGCAATTTAAATAGACCACAATGTCTAATTAAATTATTTTATCTTAAATGATTAAAATAGACACTCCCGTCTAATTAATCAAATTTACTGGTCGAGCTGAGAAAATAAAATGCCATAAAATGCATAATATAATAAAATTTCGAGATGTCTACTGAAATAAAATCGGGGCGTTACATTCTACCCTCCTTAAATGATTTCCGTCCCCGGAAATACAACTCAAAAACTACTAAAAAGAAATAAACTCCAAATACTAATACAAAGAACAAGCTCAAAACATAAACTCTGGATACTTCTTCCGGAGCTCGTCCTCTCTCTCCCAAGTCGCCTCGGCCTCGCCATGGCGGCTCCACTGGACTTTGACGAGCGAAACCTCCCGGTTCCTCAACTGATGGACCTTTCGGTCCAGAACGGCTAGCGGAACCTCCTCATAAGACAGATCCTCTCCAACCTGAAGCCCGTCGAAGTCTACTACATGCTCGGGGTCGTACACATATCTCCTCAACATAGAGACGTGGAACACGTTGTGCACTCCCGCGAACTCTGGTGGAAGAGCCAATCGATAGGCTAAGTCTCCGACTCGGTTGAGTATCTCGAAGGGTCCCACATAACGAGGCTGCAACTTCCCTCTCTTCCCGAAACGGACTACACCTTTCGATGGTGAGACCTTCAAGAAGACCTTGTCGCCAACCTCGAACTGTTGTTCCCTCCTCTTCTTCCTGGCATAGAATCTCTGTCGTTCTTGGGCTGCCCTGATTCTCACTCGGATCTCATCTACCTGAGCTGCTGTCTTCTTAATAATCTCTGGCCCAAGTACCTTCCTCTCGCCAACCTCATCCCAATACAAGGGTACACGACACTTCCTTCCGTACAAAGCCTCATACGGTGACATGCCGATCGATGCCTGATAACCGTTGTTGTAGGCAAACTCGACTAATGTCAATGAATCCTCCCATGAACCTCCTCAATCCAGAATGCACACCCTCAGAAGGTCCTCTAATGTTCGGATCGTGCGCTCTGACTGTCCGTCTGTCTGAGGGTGATATGCTGTACTGAATTTCAACCCTGTCCCCATAGCCTGATGGAAGCTCCTCCAAAACTGCGAGGTGAACCATGTGTCTCGGTCGGAAACGATTGAAACGGGCACCCCATGGAGTCGGACAATCTCATCTATTTAGAGTTTGGCGAACTTCTCCATAGACATCTTCATATGCACGGGCAGAAAATGGGC